TCCTATCCCTCCCCTTATTATCTATGATGTTTGGAGTGGATGTAACTCAACTTAATGGAAGTAAAATAAAATGTTCTATAGATTTGATAGTAATTACTAATGATAAAAAACATAATATTTATTTTTATTCAATACCAGACTAGACTAACCCCCTTTAAATATTAACCATAGTAGTCATGGTAGCTAAAGTTGCCAATTACCATGAAGAGTGCAATAATGCTCAAAAACAAATATTCTGTAATTTGTAGTAATAGTTGGTATTCAAAAATCTAGTATGTGTGCTATTGGGTTAAATTTCATTGTATTTAGCCTAATTCAGTAGAATTTTGATTAATATAAGAATAATATTATTTTCTTAAAATATTAAAACAAATTGTACCTTTCTACTACATTTTTTTCTTGCCCGGTTCATTGTAATTTTTGATTACTTATATTTTAGTTTGGAAGAATTAAATGTGTCTTGGGCTAAAATGGAAGATGACAATTTACATTATCTAATGGCCAATATGATACCAACTATAAAGCGCCTTAATATTAGTGGATTTTTGAAACAGTTAGCAGACTTTGGTATGTTGCTACTAGACAGTTAAAATGTTTTCACACTGATCATTTTTTTTTTTTTTTAAGTTTATATGAATTTTTTTTGATTTATATTGAAAAAATTCTAGATTTGTCAAGGTTGAGTAGCCGTTGTACGAAACTAATTGAATTGGATATTAGTGATAGTCTTGCTATTACTGCTAGTAGTTTGGACAAAATCTTGGAAAAAAATCATGAATTAAAAGTTTTATCCATGAATCGTTGTTACAATATTGATTCCCCTAGACTTCTAAAGTGAGAAATTATTGAAATTATTTAAAAATATGTTAATTTTTATAATAATTTAAATTATGTTTCAGTCTAACAGAGATTTCCAGAAGAAGAAGAAATTCTACTATGAGTTTGATAGAGTTGAATTTGATTGGTTTACCGCCCAGGCGAATATTAGAAGGTGGTAAAAACCCAGATTTGAATTTGAATTTAAATAAAAGCGTGTTTTCTGGTATTGGTCGTCCAAAGCTAGCTCAGAATAAACACACCATTTGGGAAATTCCTGCTTTAATAGACTGTTRATATTATATCCTAGATATAACTAATGTTCCCTTGCCAATTTACTGTGATTTAAGTAGACTAGAGCTCTATGAATTATTAAAATTATATATTTTTTTTTTATTTCAATAAYTTTGAAAAAATAACTTATATTTATTTGTTTTTAATTATGTTAATCTATTGCTATTATYGCATAATTTTGGTAAAAATGTACATGTTCTAATTTTTAATTTGAATATTTAGAGCGCAGAAAATATTCATCTTGACTGATTAAGTTTGTAAAAAAAATATTTAAGTTGATAAAAAGATTTTATCATTAAAGCATTTAATTTATTAGAATGTTATTCAAAATMAAACAAATTTAATATACTATGTTAAATGGATTTATTGTATTCTAAAGCATAATAAATTAACTGCATTATTTATGATTTTAGTATATTAATATATTTWTTAATGCCAAATGGAAAATTTTAAAATGTATTTTCTTTGATTTGTTTTTATTCTTGTTTAAGTATATTTATGATTCCATTAATGTAAATAGAAGATTAAAATCAGTTATGTTCATGGGCAATATTTAAATATTTATGTGTATTTAAGTTATTAAACTATGTATTTAGTTCATACAGATATAAGTTCAATTTTAATATAATTTTAATACATTTATCCATTACAGTGTAAATTTGACTATTACACATCAAGATTGGGTTCTCAGATTTATTTTTTACTTCAATTATCGTTTGACTGTTGTATATGTTTTTAAGAGCTTTAAAGATTCTCTGCGAATAAAAAATAATAAAGGATATAAATTTACCATAACATCGTACATTAATGAACCTCTTACAATCCCACTCTTAATTTTTCAGTTTAAACAATTAGCTGCAAATAAAACAACCCACATAATTMTATGTATTATTATTTATTCTTAGTTTGTATCTGACCAACTATTTAAATTAAGATTTTAAACAGTGATATATGTATTAATTWTACAATCATGAGTTTTTTTTTGTCTGTACATGCAAAGTAGTGGAAAAGTGTTTTGATTTTTAACATWGAAGGTAATTTCTGAAAGAAGTCAGTTGTAAATAGTGGAAACAAATTTAGTTTGAACTATAGATGCCAAAATTGAAAATTCTCATCTATTTAAAAATAAATACATAAATATAAAGTTATTTTTTAGATATTTTAAATTCAAAATTGAAAAAAATTAATATTTGACGAAGAATACATTTTTTAGTGATTTTGTTGTTAATTATTTAAAATACTGTTCTTACTATCATAGCTAAATAAGTTATTTAGCCATGCTTATCAAAATCAAYAAATCTAAAAATGGTTTATGGTGTTAAAAAGCAGCTTCTATTTAWTAATCATTCATTTATTTTATTTACTTATCTTTATAGCTAAAATTCTGTATTCACAGCTGTTCCTCCTCATACCTTATTTATCAGTGTTTGGAAGTAAAATATCAGAAAAGAGATTTGCTGTTTGTTATTTAATAAATGCTGAAAATAATATAATTTAAACTATCAAACACAAGAAATGTGATTGCCATCATAAATTTGGTTGTAAATTGGCAGACAAATAATAATTTTTCATGAAAGTTTGTAATTTGTGGTTCAACAATATTATAACAAAATAATTTACAATTATTATTATGATATAACAATTAAACATTTAGAAAATCCATCAAATACATGTATTCAAATTTTATGCAGCTTTATAGTTATTTGTTGACCAACCAACATTCAATATTAAATGATCATATCCATAACCATGTAAGCCCTTGATGGCTCGTTCAGCATCTATTTTAGATTTGAAATTTACAAACGCATAGCCTTTACATGCGCCTGTAACCTTATTAGAAGCCAAGAATATTCTAGCAATCTGCCCAAACTTATTGACTAATTCACTCAAATCTGCTTCTGACGTGCTCTCTGAAAGATTTTCAATACGAATAGCTGGTACCTCGTCATAGCCACGGGAGTATGGATCTCGTTTTCCAGCGGTATTAGTAGCTCCTTCTCGTGCCGAAGGTGGGATGTAAGGCCTAAACAACAATATGAATTTCAAGATAAATGACAGAAATTACAATGGACATATCTAAAGCATCTAACCTGTTGGTTCCTGTGTTCTTTTCTGGTTCGGATATCTTCTCTTGCACTAATTTTTTGTCCTCGACAATTAATCCGGTGCCCTTAAGATGACATGAGAAAGACCAATGTTCACCGCCACAAGTACGACACTTGATGTTCATGTTTATATTTTTGAGCTTGTCTAATGGGTTCTCCTCTGCTTTGTCTCCATCCTTGCTAGACAAGAACTGCATTTGTATTTCTTCAGAAGGTATGGTCGTTGCGATATTTGGCCCTGGCTTGTCGTTGCGCGAGTCACCGAACTTGGGCCACGTCTTCCGTTCCGCTATCGTTTTAGATACCAGACGTTTTTCGATTTTGTAGGTACGCACTACCTTTTCCTTCTTGTCATCTTTGTTCCACCGGTATTCTGTTATAATCCGGTTGTTACCTATTTGTTCGGTCTTTGACTGCGGCAGCGTCGTTTTTTCTAAGTGGTCTTCGACTTCATCGGCCCAACTTCCTTTGATCAGGTCTTTCATCTAAAACAAAATGCGACAATCAGRGTACGGCGGAAAACAGTTTGCGATAATTACCGTTCTTGGACGTTCAGAAGTGGGAAGGAGAATTGATGCCTATCGCAGACTGTGTGGCTGAGCTTAATTCTCCCGGCGATGAAAGACGGAAGGGAAGTCGAAAGTAGCTCGACTAGCTCGACCAAAGAAGAAAATTAAAAGAAACAGAAAAATGTAATGTAAACATTGCGTCGACCTGTTATCACCAACGCGCCTCGTGAATCGTGGATGGGACGCGCGACGCGCCTTGGTTACTAACACTGACAACCAAGACCAATGAGGCAATAACCGATAACCATTGGTTGGCTACGCTGTGATCTGTAAAATTTATCTCGATTCCCGACAGTCCGGCGGCAGGCTGACAATTTATGTTCTTGAACGGTAAATCCGTATAGATGGTAGGGGGAACCTTTTTTCCAATCCCATGAATATTAACTTTGTAAACAAACCGCGTCCCGGACTAGACTGACTAGAGTGCAGAGCATAGTGCATAGTGTCTGTGTCTGTGTCTGCCAGCTTGGACTTTGGAAAAGATACGCTGGACTGCCTGGACTGGAGTTCCGACTTCCGAGCGGTGAAGAGGGTGAATTGAGCTACGGACGGGAATTCTCACAGTCGACTGCGACGAAGGAGGCACTCGCACATGAACCACGCAATCGACGATGCGAAACCGCCGTGTCTTATTCTGTTGATTCTTGTAAACTTACCACTATTAGCGTGTTGATTTTCGGCCAGTTAATTAATAATGGACATACCTCAACCTCCGGAAGGTAAAATCATGTCAAACTGTGTTAAACTGAATCGGGGTGATACAGTTTAATTTGGTGTTGTTTTGTTATTTTTGTAATAATTCTTCTCGTAGACCACGAATTGCGCACGATCATCGACAAGTTGGCCGTATTTGTCGCACGCAATGGCCCTGACTTCGAACAGATGACCAAGACCAAACAGAAAGACAACCCAAAATTTGAATTTCTGTTTGGTGGCCGTTACTTTGATTACTATCTGCGTAAAGTCTCCACAGAACAATCGAGTGAGTAGTGTTAGAAGACTCCCCCACAAACTACTTGTTGTAGGCACTATTGACACAAGCAGTTTGTGCAATATATTTGTTTTTCTTTTTGAATTTTAAAAGTCGATAGCTAAATACAAACAAAGACACTTTTAAATGACGATTATTTACACTTCGTTAGCTTTTATGTTTTAGCTTATAATTCATTATTTAGGTGTCATCTTTGTGGATTTTATTTCTATTATTAATGACAAAGGTGGTTTGGTTAAACTCTATTCATCGATTTAAAATTATCATTTGTGCCTTAAAGATTAAAACTAATTTTTTTTTCTGAAATTATTTAGTATTAAATCAAAACAGTGTAAGAGAAATAGCCCAAGCTGCAGTTGCAAATAATTCTGTGAGTACACAGCAATTAAACATGGCAGCAGCAGCAGCGCAATGGTTAAATTTAAACCAATCAAATGATTGTCAGCCGTCAATAGTTACCATGGAATCCTTGAATGCCCAACAAGCAAATCTACAGCAACAAATTGCCCAGGCAGAGAAAAATTTTAACTCTCAATTAATGGTAAGAAATAAAATAAAAAATTCTTGAAACATTTTTCAGTAAAAATTAATTTTAATAGATATTGGCCCAGCAGCAACAAGTGGCTACTGAAGATAAAATACTATCCGAACAGCGAGAATATATTAATTCTGAAGCCGCAGCTAATGATTTATCACTTGTTGAGTTGTCAACTGTGCTTGARCCAATTATTAAAGGATGTACTAAAGATGCAATAGCTAATGGTAAATCATGGATTATGAAACAAACAGCCAGTGAACGAAAAGTTGATGTGATCACCCAATATTTACTTATGGAGTGAGTGACAAACCAATAAATCATTATTAACCTATTATAAATAATATATTTATACATTATGAATACTGTTCTTTGGTACAGAGTAATGGATCCAAATGCAGAATTTTCAAAACAGTTGCATTTAATATATTTAGTTAACGACGCAGTTCATCATTGGTAAGATAATAAATTGTTATCATGATATATAATAAATACTTATGTTTTGTTTTTTTTCACTGTTCTCTTTAGTATTCGTAAGTCAGAAAAGATATTGAAAACATCACTTGAATTGATTATTGTACCAATGTTTTGCTCAGCAATGATGAGGGCTAATGAAGACCAAAAATCTAAACTGAGAAAGGTACTAACTTAGTAAATTAATACATATTATCGTACTTTGATAATGTTAAATAATGTTTAAACTTTGTTTATAATCAATAGCTACTATCTTTGTGGGAAACAAAAAATCATTATTTTCCTGAAACTATAATGGAGCGATTGAAAAATCCTGATAGATCAATGGCAGAATATAAGAGCGACCTATTAGAAAAGTATAGAGATGCTGTTAATCAACTCAACATGATCATGAACAGCACATTACAAAATTACCGTAGCCAACATCAATCATTTCTAGCACATTGCAACAATCAAATTCAGGTAATACAATAATTATTAAAATGAGAATATCTTATGAAAATTTACATTGGGATCACTTTAAACATAAGTGCTTACAAAGTAACTGATGTAGGTATAATTAAGTTACATACCAATTCTTAGTTTTTATTAAACCATCGGAACATTTAAAAATTGCGTTTTAGCTTTTGTTAAAACTATTCATTGGACATATGAGAATTTTATTTTGTTTATCCTTAAATAGTTCAACATGACCATATTAAATTAAATTTTTCAATGCCTATACAAAAATAGTTTTTGTATGTATATATTTATATTTACTTGTATTTTTATATTAATTATTTGTATAATATTATATTCAACCTTTCTTTCATAAGTCATTTTTTATTGGGAATTCGATTATTTTAGAGTATAGAAAACCAAAAACGTTCGCTAGAACAACAAAAACAAAGGGTAACTCCTCTTTCAATTCCTCCAGCTCAAGGTAAGCGCACATCTGAATTAAAGAATGGACATTTTACACATTTTATGCAAAATAAAAGTTCAAATATTATTTATCATAAAAGTTTATGTTCAAACACAAGGTTTCAAAAATAAATATTTATTTTAAAACTCAATACTAAATCCTTCATTTATCCTTAAGTTAATTAAGATCATATTTTTAATATACATAGATTACTGTAGATAATAGATAAATATAGATTTAAAGCATAAAAAAGTTAAAAAAAAATATAAGCAGTTCATACATTTGTTTTAGTATTTATGAATGTGACAACAAAGAATATTTTATTTTTTATTTTTTGTAGCCATTTTTTAATTTTATACTTTTTTTCAGAAATCATCTAAATTCAAATACAAATGCAAATAAAAAAAAAAAAAAAAATTTGTTATATTACAAATACTATTCACTTTTTATTATTTCTCTCAATGCTACTTATTATTAATATTTAATAGTTTAAATTATTTAGAACATGTTAGATATGGAATGCACTGTTATTAAAGGTTAAACAAATATACATAATACATATTATTATTTAATGTGTATATGAGTTTGATTTATTAGTTTTTTGCATCTAAGTTTATTTCTCATTAATTGTTTTTACCTATTTTTGTGGTAACACATCTGGTTTTGTATTTTTGGTGTTAAGCTTAGTATTTTTTTTCTCATAATTTTATTTATTATATTTTTTTGAGCTAAATTTGCTAATTGTTTGTTATATTTAAGATATGACAATTTTATTAAATATACTTTATTTTTTTAAAGAATAACGTATGAATAGTTCAATTCTCATTTTTWAATTGATATCAACGTTTTTCATAAATTGGTATAATGAATTGATTTTTCTGCTTAAGCTATACATGAAATATTTGAATTGTTTATTTATTAAAATAGATCTATTGATTATTCATTTTTGATTTATTCTGGTAAAATTATTTTTGTTTCATATTTATCAGGCTATAACWATTGATATGTTTTTGTCATTTAATAAAGTTTAATGTATCTTAATAACTAGATATAATTATCTAGATTCTTCTTCATAAAATGGTATTTATTTATTGTAACACACTACTACATAATTCTAATAAAATAATTCAATATCATGCTTATTTGTGATCAGACATGTAATATGCTTTCTTTTTTATCTAATACACTAAGTCCTATAGGTTTTGATCTTATTGAGATTTATTTAATACTCTGTTTTATAAATCCTTATAAAAGTAGTAAATATATTTATATATAATATATAGACAAATATTTTATATAATCATTGTAATGGAAACCTTGTGTACATATTCTCTTAATTTTGTAATATTTCCCTTTAGAACCATTTCTCTTTTGTTTTTTTGTTTAGACGACACAAATCGACAGCATTTTAATGAAGGTCGTTTGCCATCTCCTCCTTCATACCAGAATAATATGTCTGGGTATATGCAAGCTGATCAACAAAATTATCCACACCAAACAGATAACGGATATCAACAAGAGGATCACTATGGACAGCCAATGCAAAATTGTTTGCAACAACCTCCCTCTTTATATAACAGACCTCCACCACCATTCAACCAACCTCCACCCAATATACACTTACAACCTCCACGTAAGTTTATAAGAAAAATAATTTATATCACTGTATATTGATGTAAAAATATTATTGACTAGCTTCTATGGAATTACCTGATCTGAGCCGGCCACCTCCAAATTTTATTCAAAACAACTTCTCTTTACCACCACTTCAGCCAGATGTTACACCGGATGATTTGCTTCCTTCACTGCCATACTATGAGCTTCCAGCTGGCCTTATGGTGCCATTAGTTAAAGTTTGTTTAGAATTCATAAATATACTGTATATTATATTATGTTATATTTTATGTGTGTGTATTAAATTTTGTTATACTTTTACAATTATGGTATTTCATTCAGTTGGAAGATAGCAATTATAAACCTTTAGATCCAGATACAATTAGATTACCACCACCTGCTCCTCCAACAGATCGTCTGTTAGATGCAGTCAAAGCCTTTTACATGCCTCCTGGGCATTTTGCTCCACGTGATAGGTAAATATTTGTCTTGAAAAGTTTATTTTAATTAAAATTTTAAATATTTAATGATTTTTGTATAAGTGATGGTTGGGAAAAACTTGGTTTGTATGAATACTACAAAGCTAAACATTCTGCTAAAAAACAAAAAGAAGATGATATTGCTGCTAATATCAGAGAAAAATCAAAGTCGCCATCTCCAATTATTATGCCTTCACTGAAAGATAAATCACCAGTTCGTAAAAAGCGTTACAGGAGGTTAGATAAATTAAACTAAAAAATAAAAACGATAAATTATTGTGTCATTTGTTTTTATTGTTTTAGTCGTAGTCGAAGCCCAAAACCACGTAGTCCGACCCGAAGAATTATAAACAAAAAAAACAGTCCACCACCAACACCTAACCGCAGTCGTCGAAGACGTTCTCCGTCTAGATCTCCATCCCCTTCTCCACCATCTTCTCAACGTAGTCCTACACCACCTTCATTTGGAGGGTAAGTAATATTGCTTAAATTGTTTTATTTTTTAATCATAATAGTAAAATATTTAAATAATTTTAGAGCTAGTTTTGGTAAAACTGCACAAGAACGCTTGGATGAGTCAAATAAAGGTCATCAGCTTCTGAAAAAAATGGGTTGGGGTGGTGCTGGATTGGGTTCAAAGGAGCAAGGTATTGACACACCAATTAGCAGTGGTGACGTAAGTAAAAAGATGATTGAAAAATATCCTATAGTAAATATAATATAATATTTTATATTGTTATTGATAAATCGATACTTGAAATTGTATGAAATTATATTGATCTATGGCTTTGTGTTGGTCATCATTATGAATTAGGTACGAGATAGGACTGATCAATATAAGGGTGTGGGAATCAGTTTGAATGATCCATACGAGAACTTCAGAAAGAACAAAGGCAAGGCGTTCATACATAGGATGCGTACAAGGGCAGAAGAACGAATGGAAGGCAATGCGTAGGTATAGAGTTTATCAATTTGATACATAAATATATATAATATCATTGATTATAGATGGACATCAATGTTTACAGGGTTTTTGGAAATATTTAATAACTTGACTGAAAAAATAGTTAACAATATTGAATACTTGTCTTGTTTTATTAATTGCCCTAAAAAATATAAACATCACATTTCTGTTTATGTGTATGCATTGTATAGCATACTAATTAATATTAATCTACTTTTTGGTTTTCATATTTTTAATGAATCATCAATGTCCATAAGATAAAAAAAAAAWTYMWTTTTWAMCMAMCAACTTATATAATAATATAATATTTAGTGGTTTTAAAAAGTTTTAATAAATATTAAAAGTTAATCATATAATTGTTTTTTATTATTCATAAATTTATTACAATTTATTACTAACATTGTCCTGTAGGATACATATGTATAATTATGTGATTCAAATTATGATATATTTAAAATCTATTTTAGTATGTTAGGTTAACCCAAGTCCACTAAAATACAAAAAGTTATTGTTTTTAATAATTTTTATTATTATACATTTTTGGAGTCATGGACATATGACTGAAATCTTGACCTTAATTGTRTTTGTCTATTTAGTATAAATATTTTTTTCTATGTTTGTTTGAAATTTGTCTTAATCATCTCATGCTAGTCTATTGTTTCAGGTGAACAATGTCCAGTTTATATTATTTGTTATATGGTAAATGTTATTTGGTAGAACGCCTCTATGTCTGTAGAGGTGTGGCTAAAATTCACTATATTGTGAATACATATATATTTTTTAGTAATAACATTTTAGCATACGGATGGAAAAACACCGTAAAGAACAACATTCAGAAATTATCTACTACTTTGTGAATATTTTTATGTATTATGTCTTATTTTATTTATAACAAAATCAATAAATATATATATAAAAAAAAATGATATTACGTTAAATGTTATTGTTCGAAATACTCACAAAAGTGTGCAGTATACGTTTAACATATACCTACTGGATTAAACCACAATAATTGTTTTATAAAATTTAGGTAAATTACACAAACTTTTTAGAAAAATTATGGTGACAAATACATGGACTATAAATGTACAATATTTATTGTTCAATAACATTTGTACATTATCGGTCAATTTTAAATAATATAAATATTTATTTTATTTTTGTCATTTAAGTTGAGTAACTTCAAATAATGTTTTCTGTAAAGTTATGTTTTACRAGTTTTATACAAAATGTAATAAACTTTTGATATGGAAATGTGTTGTTTCATTCTTGTTTTAGTGTACCTACATTGTTAAAATCAAAATTGGATTACATAAAATTAAAACTTTTTAATATTTAATTATATTGATTGTAATCAACTTATAACTATAAATTGTATTGAGAGGAAGCTACACAACCATTTTTTATCTCCGTCTTACAAGTGTATAACATTCATCAATAAACGATGGCAGCAGAGGAGTAGTATTGTGCAAACAGATCCTCCTCTGCGGTCGGTTCTAACCAGGGGGAAAAAAAAAAGAAAAGTGCATGACATAGAGAATTTATGCTCAGCAAATCACATTTAGCTCTGTTAGTTTAAAAATTAGAGTGAATCGATCTATTACATTTGATGGTAAGAACATTATTTGTGTTTGTATATGGGTTTTTTTTTATGATAGTTCATTTTTATAGCAAGCCATGGGTATATAAAAAAGCATTATTAAAAATGATCATAACTCACTTAATAACTAAGTTATCGTAAAACACTCACATTCAACACAGATAATGTTCTTACCATCAAGTTTCATAATAGGTCGATATATTCTGATTCATAAGCTACCGGTATTAAACATGATCTGCTACGTGTAAATTCGCTATGTTAAGCACTGGTAAGACGGGGACAACAAATATGTATGTAGCGTCTTCTTAATATAAATCAATATTACTTTTTTTTTTTTTAAATAATCGACGTCCAAGTGGGAACAGTGTATGATCGGTAAATTAAATGTAGGTACCAAGTTAATATTATTGTAATATAGTAATATTAGTAATATTACTATAGTTTGCACTTCCACTTGAGTTTTTCCTCTTTGAGGCCCTGCGTTAATTWGTCACCGTAATTTGGATCAAGATGTTTCATACTATTTACTTTTTCCAAACAAATACAATTAAACTTATAGCTTGCAGTTTTCCACTATTAAAAGTTGATGACTGCATATCTCATACCTAATCAATTTAATCAAATCTATCATTGTATTTCAAGGCACATATTTTAGTGTCGTTTAAATTTAATTGCAGTAACTCATTGTCAAACCATGATTCAATATTATTTAACGCCATAGGCCATGATTGGCACAATTTGMCAGAAAATTGTGAGAAATATTTAAATTGCAGAAGAATTGCTTTAATGGATTTTTCAACCTAATTTTAGCTAAATTCATATTACAAAATATAAATAAATAAAATTGCAATTTTTTTTTGACAAGTTATATTATAGAACCTTTTCAGAAGTATCATTGAATTTTGATCATTTGTTTTTTTATTTTATAAAATTAAAATTCTAATTTGAATGGACAGGAAACTAAATATTAATTATTAAGTAACAACAAAGTAAATATGTTATAACTAATATGGTTCAGAAGTTAAAATTAAAGTAGTAACAACTSTTTAACACGAATAAAAATTATTTTTATATCTCACAGTTAAATAGTATTCAGTACAAAATATAAATTATTTATTCACTTATTCTAAATAATTAGTAATTAAAATAAAACTGATTGTTTTCATTAATAAATAATATAAATATAACTTTTTGGCATATAAAATTTATAGTTTAAATTTAGTCTTAAAAACGTGTTTGATCCAGGAAAATAAACCTCATCACGTATAGTTAACAATTATGTGTATTTTTTTATTCTATCACTTCAATTGATTTTGATACTCCAACACCAGTCTGGCTAATTGTCCTTTGGAACCAGCATTTCGATTTCTAGATCTTACACAGTTGCCATACAAAGCAGCGCTTGTATGATCCACAATGTTTCCTTCATACAATTCACAATGTCTCTGTTTATGACGCAAACGTAAACCAGATTCTACAGCTCTGAATACATGACACTCACTATATGCCACAAACATAGAATAAACAGACGGGTTAGTCATATTGACTGCTTTCAAAGAATGACTTGTAGATTCTGACACCAAATGATGTATATCGCGGTCAGCTCGAATTATAGGAATTAATGATTCTGCATGTTTCCTGGCTAAAAATTGTAATTAATAAGTTAATGACTTCTTTGATTATATTATATAACTTAATAACAACTCAAATACATTATCATAGGTACTCACTAATAACATAGTCTTTTGCGTAAAATGATAAATGATCATAGTCGAACGGATCAAAATGGCCATAATACTTGTTTACATCTAGAGTTGCTTGCCTTGGATATGTCATGAGATTAGGATCATATTCAGAAAATGGCAAAGCACTAAATATCTGCCATTCCATTATAGTATTCATTCTTACCTAAAAATTAATATCCTCTCAAAATTATTTTAATTAAATTATTTTTCAAAATAATATTAATCAATCACTTTAGAATTTAATTTTTTTTTCTTAACATTAACATCATTCTTGCTCAACATAGTACTTACTCTATTCAAATAATCTTGACGAATTTCCATTTTTGGTCTAGCTAACATCATTAGAGCATCTGGAGGAAACTTTCTAATTGCTAAATCAATGATCGCGAAATCCAATAATGCATCTCTTAGTGCTACCAATTTAGTGTTTGGAATTCTCACTGATAACCATGCAACTTTAGTGCCATCTTTTTTATGTGCATTACTCAAAGATGTTGCTTCATCTTTTAATTGTTTAAACACATCATCAACAGCACCTTTCCCTGGAGCATTAGCATCATACAACAAAACCTTAACATTCAAAAGTATGATTAACAAGATTTATGTAATTTGACTAAGTGAACTTGTTTATTAAACTTCACACTTACCAACATAAGCATTGTCTTTTCCTTTTTATCAATGCAAATTTGTTTATATTGACGTAGAAAACGAAAGGCGTCTTCTTTTTCATTTGTACGCACAGGTAAAAGAATATGCACACGAGTGTTTTCAGTTACATAAGGAACTGATAACATTTCAACTTTACCAAGCAACTTGCTGACTTCCACTCTGAAAAATCATTCAACTATAATGGCTGTTAAAAATATTTATAAATTAATAAATTGTATATCTCTTGAGTTTATATACTAAAAAATACATTGTGTTGTTTAATATAGTAATGATTTCATTTTTATAAGATAGTAAAAATTCCATACCTTTTTTGAATTAATTTATTTCCAACAATATCTTTGAAACTTAAATCTAAAATATAGTCTAATCCTCTTGATGGATCAAATCTTTTGTAACCATTAATCAAACGATCAAATTTCAAATTGTTTGAATATTTTGATTCCAAATATTCAATACTGRTGTTCAACACATTCTGCAATAATAATATTTTTCTATTATATCTAAGTGTTAATTATACTGKGTCTCAAAAGAGAAAAATCAGTTGGTGGTGTACATCTCTCACTAACTTCTTTGTGTAATGTGATCACATAGTAATTTATGTGCCAATCACATAGTTTATGATGTGCAAAAAGTGATTGTTCTCTTTTGAGACAGAATATAGTTATTTTAATATTTAGTTGATTGTGCATTTAGYATGTAATTCCTTACACGTATATCGGCATTTTCAGCTTCATTTAATGGTCTTATATTACTTATTCTAGAATCCAAATATAAATGCGTTTCAGTGAAATGATCCCATTTCAATACATCAAAACGAGTGGATGGGGTACTTCCAGGCTGACTTCCAACTGGCCAAGTTACTTTTCTAAAGTTCGGTGGCTCTAAACTTGACTCAGCCACAATAGATCGTCTTAATGTTTCAATTTCCATGTTGGATTTTTCTAGATTCATTTTACAAAATGCTAAATGAGTTTTATACATTGTTTCAGCATTTGGMATTGGATAAACAGTTAAAGCACGATTAAAACTTTCTTGTTGTTTTGGTTGATTGAGTAAATTAATAAGATCTTTCGCTTCCCACAGATGATAACTGCTTATAGATTGTCCCTAAACAAACAAATTTAAATTTAAACTGTGTATTTTTAAATCAAGAATTTTAATATTACTCACTTGAATAGATGTCTGACACGGAAGATCAACTGAATGTAATACACATCGACCAAAATTATCATCATCTGAAGTAGAGAAAGCATTACGTACACACCAATCAACATTTGGAATCATTTTACGAATAACGGAGTTGCTTAAAAGTATTCCAGCATCTGAAAATTTTTCATTTAATATAAAATTATAATTTGTTAAATACATTTTCTGATACTAATTTCTTACCCAATGAACAATAATTTGTACCAATTACAGTTCCACTAGCATACACATCTTCACTAACACTAACTCTTTTAACCAAGTTCATGAGCTTGTCTGCATTCAAGTATGTACTATCTTTTATCAACATGAAAAACTCATATTCGTCCAAGTAGTTGTCAGCAATATATTTAACCATATGAAATGGTTTCAATACATTTCTACTGTCAGTAAACCCAACTATACCGGGTATTTTCATAAGTGTTACGTTTAGTTTATGTCCACCTGCCGCATCAACGAAAAAAATTGTCTTGTCCACCCAATGTGTAACAGTCTTGTTGACAGCAACTGCAAGACCATCTACAGATGCTTGGTTTGCCAAAATTCCGACAAATAATTTCTCTCGAATTCCAAGCTCTGTTGAGTAATATCTAGGACGTAACAAAGTTTGTGGAATTTTTTGTGCTCGCTGCGGTTTGCCAGCCAAATTTATATGAGGTTCATATTCATCATTGGAAATAATTGAGCTTGAATCACTGTCAATAGTCGATATTGAAAATAGACAACCAGTTTCTAATAATGGTCCGACAATAAGACTAAAAAGTAGCCCAATTGTGACACCAATTATTAAATAAAAGTTTTGACGCAAACGTGCTGATGAACACAGCATATTGGTTCTAGAAATACAATTAGTAATGCATTTAAATAACAAACATATGAGAAGTTAAATATAACAGCTAGCGGATGATGAATATAGAATATACCTACAAATTTAAAACGAGATAAAACATTGAAAACATAAATTATAAATGTAATTGTTGATTTAGGGCTTATCTCTTCAGGTACACYATTTTATCTAGGCCACATTTATTTTTATTATTGAATGATAATTGATAAAGTGTTACGGACAGAMATTAACTAAATGAAGATTATTATTCTTTTTTAAATAAAAAAAAAGTTAGAAATTGTATTAATGGCGTTCATCGAATATCAATAAATAATAATAACACTCTCGAACAAGTCTTAGATGAGTTAGATGTGCAGTGTAGTTGAATAAAGGACACATAAGCTTTGCAGGCACAAATACCCTATTTTCTAAGTTTAATATAGAAAATTATTGGCACGAACAATTATTATTATTAATGACAAAACATCCGAACGATCAATCTCGTKATCTAAGGTTAGATTGCACCTGTAGATTATCGTTACTTATTTATTTACCAACATACTGTTGCGTTACAAATTACAAAATAAAAATGCTATTACGATTTTTAATGTTTAATCTAATAGGTAACCCATAATAAATACACAACTCACTCGCTTATGTTTTATATTCATATTCGACACTTAAGCTTGATATCGATGAACACGATTTAGATTATTTTAAATATAAATTACCAGTAGTAGGATCACATTATCCGTAATTTTAGTCTTAACTTATAAGTATTGTATTAAATATCAATAGGACAATAGGTATATAAATATTGGTGGTTTACATTGTAATCTGTTTATATATATCTATTCTGCATACTGCACTTAGCTAGACCCTTAATGCCCCTAACTAACCCCGAGTGGCATGGTGGGGAGGAAGAGTAAAAGACCTTTGACAAACGTGTTGAGTAACACGATTAAAGATATAGGTACCTAGGTGTATCTTAAATCATGCCGAGTAATATCATCATAGGAAACATAATTCAATAACAGAATAAGAAAAAATAAAAATATTTTAGGCTGAACCTCCGCGAAAACAAAAATATACCTAACACCTATTTTACATATCTAAATTAAATTTACATCAAATAATTATTTCACATTCTGAGTGAAAGATCTATTAGTTTTATTGTTTTATAATGATTTAAATAAATATATAAAAATGCTCTACTTTTTTTCTGCGTACAAATTTTCAACTAGATAATGGTTCAAAAATTCATTTTTACCTTACTTTAGATCAAAAATCGCCTAAGTTTGATAAAGAATTTACACAAGTAATTACGAGCTACAACGAACTTGTACCTATGCATCTTAATGAAATGAAAATGAAAATAAAACGAAATAATTTTTGGAAGATATTGAAAATCACATCTTCTTGGTGTGTGTCATCTGGATAATGCTAAATATATAATAATTAATGAGATAATATGAGAAGAACTGAGCATAATATTTTAATTTGGTCCTTGTTTACATGTCAATCATTTTTCAACGAAAAAACCATGTAGAGTTTTCGATAGACAYTTAGAATATTTTTTCTTTGGCTTAGCTTACAATATTACAATCGCCCCCATTTAGCTATCGCAGTACCGCATTAGATAAATTGTCAGAGAAAGAAGAATAGTTCAAAGATCAAAACATTTTTTAGAAAAAGATAGAATACACTAATTTAGGTCCCGTCATAGAACACTGGTGGTCGGTAAGTATTGAATATCTCTTTCTAGTTTATAACGTTACTTTTTACTTATAGCTTTTGGCAACCTATAGCCCGTATGATAGAAGTGCAATTCATGTCTATGGTCAAACACTCATGCTWTAAGTAACAGCTTTATACTATTATAAGTACAGCCATAAGGAACAGTATTACACGCTGCACTATTCATGGCTAAAAGTACAGGTAATCGGATATTATGCTCAACTAGGTTCTTAGCATGTTTCACCTTTTACGTACACTGTCTGCTTTACTTACTATTTAGTAGTTTATATTGTCATTCATTCGCATAGACATAATGTCTATGCTAATTCGTCGCAGAATACARATAGAAGATAGGTCACGTCATAATTCTAATAATAAAAACATGCATGTGATGACTGTACGATAAAACATCGATAACATAACATAGGTATTATCATATTTACTATTTAGTCATAAGTTCATAACCTTCGACCATATAAGCTTATATATTAGCTTATATGGTCGAAGGTCATAACTCATAATCCTTAAATCCTTTTAGTTTAAGTTTAACGGACATCACATCATAAAGATTTGCATTTTTTTTTTTTTGATAAAAAGTTATTATTTTTTCGTGACGTCAACAGGCAAAGGCATTAAGTGCTTCGCATCATTATGTCCACATCGGTCGTTCTGTCATCCTAAAAACTAACCTCAAACGTTCCAGTAATCCAGTCTTAATCGTGARAAAAGTCACGRCAAGTTAGWGGCCAAWGATATTCTACGCATCAAATGGCTTCGACAAAAAAAAGTACACAATAATCGAATAATTCAAAGTATCCGAAAAATTACGATCTGAAAATACTGAAAATCCGGGAAAAGTGATCAGCGTCCCGTTAAAGAAATTTTAATAGTAATGGTTACATATCTGTGGTAACAGTATACCGATTTGTTCCACTAAGAGAAAAAATTTCTCATGGAACGAACGCGCCWGGTCGTTGCWGTTAACGCCTTGTCAACGGACAACTTGTTTTTGTTGTTTTCGTTTCTGAACCACAGTCGCAGTGTTTATTCGCGTCTGCATTGAAGACGGAGCTTTCGATTCCGCTCTTCTGTTTTCATTTTAACGTATCGTTCRAAATTTTGAATCTGCCACAATTACGGTTCAAAGACTTGATTGATTTGAAAACAAATTACCTGAAAATTCGAAGGTCTCGTTAACCCGCCACTTATCATGGTCCGCCGTTGACCCATTAAATATAAATATAGAACTGGGAAATAATTTGACCACGATGGCGTCGACAAACCTTGGTAAGTTTCGTAGCGGTGCAAATGCAATTACCACGTCTAACCCGTGTTTTCGTTGTTGTCCAGATAGACGTGAACTCGTCACGGTGACGGCGTTATGATGATTACGGTGACGACAACATGCAATCCTGTAAGCCGAAGGTCACCGACCTAAATCCACATCTACTATGCGTTCTGTGCGGTGGATACTTCGTGGACGCCACGACGGTAATCGAATGTCTGCACTCCTGTAAGTAATTTAAAAGTCCAGATATTTCCAAATAGTTGAAATTATTTAGTGTTGTAGTAATGTTCATTTGTTTTGCTATTATGTACCTTATTAGTTATTGTTAACATATACCTCATTGTGTTTATTCTCTGTTAAAAAGCACTTTAGGGTTACAATAAGTGACCTKTGAATTACAAATTAGAATTCCAATATTTTTATGGTCTCTATGAAAATGTGCACTGCCCCTTATCTTTTAACAAATACCTAATTAGAAATAAAATTATATGTCTGAACATTGTTATTTATTATGTAACTAATTAATCGGTACAACATTTTATAAATATAGCTTTTACTTAGGTATACCAAAAGAATTTTCATTAATTTAGGTTGTTATTATTTTTTTAGTTTGTCGAAGTTGTATTGTCAAGTATCTCGAACGCAACAAATATTGTCCAATATGCGATGTATTAGTCCACAAATCAAAACCTTTATCCAATATCCGGCCGGACCACACACTGCAAAATATTGTTTACAAACTTGTTCCACGTTTATTTCAAAGTGAGTAACAACATTTCACCAATTCAAACATTTATTCTATACTGTTTTTAAATTGGATTATTATTTTTATAGAGGAAATGGTAATGAGAAGAGAATTTTACAATCGAAACAAAGTGTATTTACCCAGGGACCCAATGAGCCGTGGTGTTGTACCTGATGACTATCATATATTTGCTGCAAGTGATGCAATCAGTATATGTCTTTATTATGAATGCGAAAATATTGACAAAAAAGTAAAAATATATTCAAATTTATCTCATTGAACTATTTCAATTTATTAAATTTTGTTTTTTACACAGAATATACATGAAAAACATAAACGATATCTATGGTGCCCAGCATCATTGACAGTTATAAATTTAAAAAAATTATTATACATTAAATATGAATTAATACCAACTGATCATTATGTAGAGTTTTTCTACCAAAATTATTTATTAGATGATCATTTAACTTTAATGGATGTTGTTTACATGTTTGATTGGAAAAGGGTAAATATTTATTTTTAATAATTGATTGATATTTGTTTGCATTATATAATATTTTTAATTTTAGAAAGATCCACTTTCAATGACTTATCGAATTCTTAAAATTGAAATTGAACCTCTTTTAAATGACGGTATAGCAAAAGAAGAAAGTGTAGTTGAGTCAATAAAGGACRATGAAAAGTCTGAAGAAAAACAAAATGATTTGCATCAAAATGTAGTTAATACAGAGATCTGTATTGAGGAACTCCCTAAAATAGATGAAAACCTTAAGGTCCTTGAGAAAATTCCAGATTCTAAAGAAGTACAATTGGAAATAAGTGAAAATGGTATCATGAAAGTTACTAATATTAATCAGAGTAGAGAAACAATTCAAGCTAATGTCACTATAGAGCCAACTGATATAGTTAAAAATGAAAATTCATCTAAACCAGGAGATATAAATGACGATAAAGATGACGATAAGAAAAAAACTTTAAAAGTATATCCTGGGTCAAAGATAAAAAAAACCAAACCTAAACTAGACACTATTGTTGAGAAAATTAAAAAACAAGGCACTAAATATAAAACATTAACATCTCCAACTAAACATTGGAATCCAAGCATATCAAAAACTTCAGTCTTAGCCAAAAAGAAAGAAATAAATGGAATTGATAAAAAGTGTCAAAAATTTTTCAAATCAAGAGATGACAAAAAAGATGAAGATAAAGTTGAAGACAGTTTGAAGAGGTTAGCTGAAGTGCCTTTAATGAAAATTAATCCTCAAACATTATGTCCAATTATGCCTTCTTCCCCAGCTAAGAAACCCAAAAAACCTGTTCCTAAAAAAAATACATTAGCTCATTCTTTGGCCCTACTACCTGTTCGACCAACAAATCATAACCCATTTACCAATCCATTGAATCCATTCATGTATGGAACATTTCYAAATAATTCAAATGGAGATGCTGGAGATACAAATGATTTTCTTAAAGCTATGTCTGAGTTATGTCCACCATCATCAGCTTATCATAATTCTTTGCCACCGTCGGTTAGTGTACTTTTCAATCCCTTATATACTCATCACAGACAAAGTCAGGCTAAGAAGGCTTCTGTGGCTGTAGCTCAATCACCTGACATAATGAAATTACCTGCCAATAAAAATGAAGAAAAATCTGAAAAGATAGAAGATAAAACCAATGATAAAGGTAATAATAAAGACGAGTGTACTAATAATAATAAAGGTGAAGAGAAAATGGAAGTCGAGAAAGAAAARGAAAAGAAAAAAATCTAAAACAATGACTTATTGTGAACTACAAACTAAAAAGTTGAAGTCTCTATAACTAAAATCTTTAGATTATGATAGACCTGTTATAGGTTTATTAGAGGAGTATGGAAAAAAAATATTCTAAATATTTTGATATTTTTTTAACTCAACATAATTCAAAATGGTCACCCTAGTTAAACAACAAGTCTATGAATTGGATGCCATTAGATTGCTTCAAAATGTATATATAGCCAAGTAATAATGTTTCGAAATCTTATTCATTATTGCTCACAAATTCTAGTCCTAGTTTAAGGTGTATATTTTATAAAAACAAAAAAAAAATTGCAACAGTTTTTTGTATAAGTGCCTTCAGTATTTAATTATTTAAATTTTTATGCTCACGAAATTAAGTGATATAAATATATTAGTATTTTATAGCTCAATTTTTTAAAATAAATGTGAAAATATACAGGGTAAAAATGCACTGTGCTTTCTATGTCTATGGGACTAATTCAAGATCATATTTTGTTCTTCCTACTAAAATATTAATTATGTTATTTATGAAGGACTATAATTTTCTCTATTAAGAATAAGATTGAACTGYTTTAGCCCTTACAGAATGTTTAAGAGATTTTTTCATTGATAGATCTGTTATACATCACCAACATATAGGTTCATAGAAGTAATCAGAMATTTTTCTAGGGGAGAGGGGCTATGTTAGGATTTTAGGAAAAATTAGAAAATGTTTTCAATTTTCTCAATTTAAAAAAAATGTCCGAAAAGCTGGGGGAGGGAGTAAATACCATAGTTTGCTCTGGGTTCCTTTTTGATGTTGTTTTTACTAATATTGGCTTTAATACAAAATTGAATACTATACAATKGTATATAAAAAGTAATTTGTTACCTATTTTAATGACAATTTCATAATTGTTTACTTTTCTATCTATAAAAACTTTGTAATTTCATTAACTCGTTAT